AATGTAATATTACTCAGCCATAAAGAATGAGAAACTAGCCGGGCATGGTGGCACATGCCTGTAATCCCAGCACTTGGGAGGCTGAGGCAGGAGGATCACTGTGTGTTTGAGACCAGCCTGGGCTACATAGTTCCAGGTCAGTCTCAACTACAAAGTGAGACCCTGTCTCAAAAACGAATGAAAAATTAGAGACATTTATATAGCTAAATGGATGCACATTGAGGCCATACTCTTAAATAAATAGAATGACCGTGTAAATAACCAAATAGAAACCAAATAGTTTCTCTGGTTGAGAAAATGAAAGTTTAAATGAGGACCAAAATGTATAATAGATAATGTAAAATAGGAAGAAAAGGTCCAAAAGGGAAAAACAAGAGTTAAACTATATCAGGTACACGTACAAATTCCCAATGATGAACGTGATCAAATTGTATACCTCAAATGTACTATAAACTTAATGGAAAAAATAATGAAATTGCCACTTTGTTTTACACCATGAGTCAAAGCACCATAACAAGTCTCCTGACTTTTGAAAGGTATACTTTCCTTCCGAGAAATTCAAAAGGGCAAGTAACAAAAGAAAATTGAAGGTGAACTGGGCATGGAGGTGAATGCCTGTAACTCCAGCACTCAGGAGGCTCAGGCAGGAGGACTACAATGAATTTGAGGACAGCCTGGGCTACAGTGAGTTCAAGGCCAGGCTGAACCATGAAGCAAGATCCTGTTAACCTAAAAAAAAAAAAAAAAAAAAAAAAAAAAAACCTGAAGATGAGTTCTCAGGCAAACCATGTTTTCGAAAATTCTGTGAAAAGAAATTGAGGATTTGGAAATGGGTTCACTTTCGGCTATGGTGACCTTAGAGCCCTTGAAAGGCTTTGTACCTTGCTATGGAATGAATATTTGCATCACCCCAAAATTCATGTTGCTTCTGGTAGCATTTAGACAAGATCTGGCTTGTTCAGGGTGGTATGGCTGACTGTAGACTAAGACTACTGTTTGTATTTAGGCTGATACTTTCAGAGACAATCATGTACAATTGCAGGAAAGAGCTGCTGCCCCTTTTATGAACTGTAAGGCTCCCCTGTAGTTAGTTTTGTATCAAATGAGACTTTCCAGAGAAATTTACAAGGAGCCAGACAAAATTGCAGTAACCCTGCCCCACCCCTTTTAGGTGAACTAGAGTAAACTTTGTTCATTCTAATGCTAAATTCTTCCCCCAGAGGCATTCCCCACAGGCCACTTTTTGAACAAAGGATGGAGCATCCGGACTTGGAACTGAGCATGCTCAAGAATGTCCCCTCTTCCACATGGGCTGAGTCCTTCCTGTAGTGTTTTCACACTAAAAACTCCTTGCTTGGGGAAAATTATTCCTAGTGCTCTCTTTCCTTGCTCCAAGTAATAAACTCTTCTTCTCCTTCTTTTTGGTGCAGTATTAAAAATCAATACCAGGAGCTCTCTATCACTGGGTTATATCCTCAACCATTTTCATTTTTTATTTTGTA